GTTTGCAGTCCCACCAGCAGTGTAAAATTGTTCCCCTCTCTTTACACAGGCCAGCATCTGCAGCTTTGGGACTTGGTGACCTGGGCCATTCTCATCACATTTCCATAAAAGAATGGTTTGTAAAAGAATGGTTTGTAAAGAATCGTTTGTAAACCATTTATCTTAAAGTAGAACAATAAAAATAACTTCAACCTGTGACCAAGAAAAATAAATTTTTATTATTTTTTCATTTCATGAATTTGACTGGAATAAACATCTGATTCTCTATTAAAAAATAATGGAAACAGAAGGGAAGATAACATTCTAAAAGTGGTAGAATTGTTGTGTTTGGTTAGAATTTCTCAAATTCTCAAAGGGACTTCTGTGGAACACTTGGGAAATATATATATAATGCCTTTTAAGGGCATTTGCAAAGTTTTATCTAACATAGCAAAAATTCAATTTCTGATGAGAAAAATTTAGAACAGATGTTAAGTGGTGGACCAAAAAAATTGTCATTCATTAAAAAACACTTTTTACTTTAAAATTTGGTAGTTACAAACAGGGCTTAAATTATTTTTAATTGTTTAATTTTATTTAGAAGTTCTTAAGTAACTATACTTGACATTAACTTACTTCTAAAAGAAACATGAAAATTAATACCCTAATTCTTATAAGTTTAATTTTTCTTGGCAAGTATTTATTAAAAAATATTTTTTGTAGATTCTGATTATTAGTCAGATTTGTATCATGAAAATATCTTTTCCTATTCTTAAGTTTGGCTGTATGCTTTAATTGCTGTGTCCTTACCTGTATAGAAGCTTTTTAGTTTGATTAAATTCCATTTATTTATTTTTGCTATTGCTGTGATTGCCAATGGAGTCTTCATAAAATCTTTCCTCTAGCTCATGTCATCAGGAACTCAAACTAATCAACAGGAAAAGAGCAAACAATCCCATTTATCACTGGGCAAGGGACATGAACAAAATCTTTTCCCAAGAGGACAAATGGCCAATGAAAAATGAAAAAGTGCTCATCATCCCTGATCATCAGAGAAATGCAAATCAAAACCACCCTAAGATATCACCTAACTACAGGGAGAATGGCCACATCACCAAGTCCCAAAGCTGCAGAAGCTGGCATGTGTAAAGAGAGGAAAACAATTTTACACTGTTGGTGGGACTGCAAACTAGTACAGCCTTTTTGGAAAGAAGTATGAAGGATCCTCAAAAAACTAAAAGTTGACCTTCCATTTGATCCCACAACTCCATTACTAGGCATCTCCCAGAAGAAAAAAAAATTACCATACGGACATTTGTACTAGAATATTTATCTCAGCTCAATTCACAATCTTCAAGATGTGGAATCAACCCAAGTACCATCAATCCATGAATGGACAAACTGTAGTATATGTGTACTATGGAATACTATTCAGCCACAAAAAGATGGAGACTTTACATCTTTTGTACTAAACTGGAAGAATTTGAGAACATCCTCCTAAGTAAAGTATCACAAGAATGGGAAAGCAAATATTCCGTGTGCTCAGTACTAATATGAAACTGTAGATAAACAACTACATACCCACTCAAGAGAAAAACACAACCATATCCAAATAAGGGGAGAGAATCTTTCCCCCAATTTATGTTTCTAATAGGCTTATCAAAGATCAAATGACGGTAA